CTGGGGCGAGCGCGCAGTTGGCGCTCGGGCTCGGCGCCTCCTCTCGCCGCGCCTCGGGGTGGCTGCAGCGCGGGGCCCTGCGCTGCCCCTGACTCCCCTTCCCGGCGATGGTGCAACCGGAGGGCGCGTCCGTCCCCCGCCGCCGCTGACCCCAGACCCCCACTCCATGGCCGCCCCGGCGCCGCCCCCACCGGACAAGCTGGAGGGAGGTGGCGGCCCCGCACCGCCCCCCGCGCCGCCCAGCACCGGGAGGAAGCAGGGCAAGGCCGGTGAGAGCGCTGAGAGGGCTGGATGCTGGAGAGGCCGTGCACTTGGGCGCCTCGGAGGGAGGGTGGGCAGGTGGGGGGAGGTGTTGGTCCTTAGGCTGAGGGGCCTGATCTTAGGCAGTGAAGAGGATAGGTTGGTGAAGCTCTTCAGGGGTTGGGGGCGGGTGTCACGGATTGGGGACCCTAGAGTTTGGAGGCACATGGAATTCACGAGTCACTTGGGAGTCTGAGGGTGTCAAGAGATGGGATGTGTCTCATTTAACGAAAGAGGCAGCTGAGTGTAGTCATATCATTTATTATTACACTTTTGTTAGTGTTTGTTAAGTAAATAATGTACACTGAAGTTAGAAAGTTCCTCAGAGCACGGCTGGGAGAGAGAAGGTTCTGGAGGCCTCAGAGAGACTTGTGTCTGCCTTTTGCTGCTCTTCCAGGTCTGCAAATGAAGAGCCCAGAAAAGAAGCGAAGGAAGTCAAATACTCAGGTGAGTGGTGGCTGGTGGAGGGTAACCTAGCCGCCCCTCTGGGCACTCTTTACTCTGCTGCTCCAGTATCTGCTTGTATCTTGCATCAGGTGCAGGGAGAAGCGAAAGCTGTCCCTCTTGCTGTTTCTGGTCCTTTCCCTCAACTTCATAACACGCTCGTAGGGTGAGAATGAGATGATCTTATCGGTCAGGATTAGAATCTTTCTCTCTCCCGATTTTCCTGTCCTGGTTCCCTCAGGATGATAACACCCACCACTCACTGAGCGTTTTAGGTGCTAGGGATTGTGCTAAAGGTTTTAACAGTTTGGGAAGCTAGGCATTGTCCCTGTTTTACAGATGAGGAATCTGAGGCTTAAAGAAGTTAAATACCTGCTCCAAGGTCTTGAGCTTATTCAGTGTCCGAGCTGGGTTCTGCCTGTTTCCAAAACACGGTTACCACACTGTGCTGGTTCTGCTCTCTCCTCTGTTTCTCTATGGCATTCAAAGGTCCATCTTGATTTTAGATCTGAGCTGGCCAGTACCAGCCTCCAAAATGTGTATTGTGTTTCTGGTGCTCTCCCGGTTTAGCTTTGGGTCTCCCTCCATGACCCTCTTTCTCTCATCTGTTCCCCACTAGGGCCCTGCATACTCACATCTGACGGAGTTCGCGCCACCCCCGACTCCCATGGTGGATCACCTGGTTGCATCCAACCCTTTTGAGGATGACTTCGGAGCCCCTAAGGTGGGGGCTGCAGCCCCTCCATTCCTTGGCAGTCATGTCCCCTTTGGAGGCTTCCGTGTACAAGGGGGCATGGCAGGCCAGGTACCCCCAGGCTACGGCACTGGGGCTGGAGGGGGTCCCCAACCTCTTCGTCGACAGCCTCCCCCTTTCCCTCCCAACCCTATGGGCCCTGCTTTCAACATGCCCCCCCAGGGCCCTGGCTACCCACCCCCGGGTAACATGAACTTTCCCAGCCAACCCTTTAACCAGCCTCTGGGTCAAAACTTTAGCCCTCCTGGTGGGCAGATGATGCCAGGCCCTGTGGGGGGATTTGGCCCCATGATCTCACCCACCATGGGACAACCTCCCAGAGGGGAGCTGGGTCCCCCTTCTCTCCCTCAACGCTTTGCCCAGCCAGGGGTGCCTTTTGGCCCTTCTCCTCTCCAGAGACCTGGTCAGGGGCTCCCCAGCCTGCCCCCCAACACAAGTCCTTTCCCTGGTCCAGACCCTGGCTTTCCTGGCCCTGGTGGTGAGGATGGGGGGAAGCCCTTGAATCCGCCTGCACCCACTGCTTTTCCCCAGGAGCCCCACTCAGGCTCCCCGGCTGCTGCTGTTAATGGCAATCAGCCCAGTTTCCCCCCAAACAGCAGTGGACGGGGTGGGGGCACTCCGGATGCCAACAGCCTGGCACCCCCCAGCAAGGCAGGTGGGGGTTCAGGGCCCCAGCCTCCCCCAGGCCTGGTGTACCCGTGTGGTGCCTGTCGGAGTGAGGTGAATGATGACCAGGATGCCATTTTGTGTGAGGCCTCCTGCCAGAAGTGGTTCCACCGCGAATGCACGGGCATGACTGAGAGCGCCTATGGGCTGCTGACCACTGAGGCCTCTGCTGTCTGGGCCTGCGATCTCTGCCTCAAGACCAAGGAGATCCAGTCTGTCTACATCCGCGAGGGCATGGGGCAACTGGTGGCTGCTAACGATGGGTGATACTGGCGAGGCGGCCCAGGGAAGTGCATACGTCCCTCCCTGCTCATCCAGGGTGACTGTTTCCATGTCTGGCTCTTGGTCCTTGTTTCCACTGGCTTCCCATCCCCATGGGGCAGAAACACAATGGCTCCTGGGGGCAGAAAAGGAACTGAAGTGGGCAGGTGGAAGAGCCTGGATCACTCACCTTTCTGGAAACTTAACATGCTGAGATCGGTGGAGATCCAGGAAACCAAAGCCCTGCCGAGCAGAGCCATTTTTTGTGGCTATCTCTGGAGGCCTAGGGGTATGGCTGCAAGAGAAAAGAGGCTGGAGGAAGATTTGGAGGGCAGGGGTGTCCCCTCTGCAGATGATGGACGCCCCCAGCACCTGTGCCTAACACTCCTATCTAGCCCCAGAGCTCCAGCTTTAGCGTTTGGAGTCACGTGTTAAAGGTTTCTGGCCAGAAGAGTTGGAATCTCTTCCTATACCTTCAGTAGCCCTTTCATGGGCTCTGGGAGACAGCTTTAGGGAATAAACGGGGATTTTTCCCTTTTCCTACCTGCCCCTTGCCTCCTCCAAGACCTACTCAACTCCTGCCCCATCAGAGAACCAAATAGCTTGGAGAAGCAGGAGAGGTCTTAACTATGGCAGTTTCTTGGTGATTTGGGGCTTCAAGACAATAGGTAAGAGATGCTGTCAGAACATATCTCCCTCATACCAAAGTCACTGGTCCTTTCTCAGCCTCTCGTGCTTTTCTCCGAATGACCATATTTTTGCCAAAAATTGGGCTATGTGGTCTGACAGACCGGAATATTTGGAGTTTGGACTGTTCTGGAGGCCTGGACTCTGTGGTCCTCCCACCCCGCCCACCTTGCCCATCTGCTGCACATTATCCTCTGTGCTGGTCTTCAACCTTTGGCGCCCTTCTTCCCCGGCCTCCCTGGCTTGACAGAAGGAAAGCTTGAAAAGGCACAGAGCCCTTATACCTCATTTCTTCTGATAGAAGGAGCCCTGTCACAGCCTGTGGGTCAGGGAGGCGGCGGGGCCCACGTTGCCGTGGTACTAAAATGCGGTCCAGAGCCTGGATGGTTTTTGCTCTTTCCCTGCTATTTTTTAGAACTCAGGCCTGGTGGTCTAGCAGTTCTCATTCCCCTCAGCCAGAGTCCTACACTGGGCTTTATTTGTTTTTATTTTATTGTTTAAGCACTGCCTGCCAGAGATGGGCCTGGGACCTGATCAGGAGTCCCTGACAGCTGCTCTTCCTTAGGACTCATGCACACATTCCTCAGTGGGGTGGGGTGGGCAGGCGTGGGGTGTGGCCCTGAGAGGAGTTAGTGGTCCGCTGTCCCCACTTCCCTTGGGACCCTAGCATGTGAGAAGACAGGTATACTGCGGAACTTGCCTGCGTGCCCAGGGCAACCAAGCCGTCTCCGAGGCTGTGAGAAGGAAGGGAGTGGCCTCTGGGCTTCTCACCCAGTGTGTCCCCACACGGAGACAGCAGAGTTGGCAACGCCCCACTGCTCAAGTTTGGGTTGTGTTTGAGGTTCTGTTTACCACACTTTAATCTGTTGCTATTTTTGTGCTGTCTCTCCGAATTTTGTAAAATGGCTCCTGGGGGAGTGTCTGCTCAGTCCCTCTTTCCCCATCACTCCACTACTTTGTGGAAGAAAGTGAGGGTGGCAGAGATGTGGTGGTGGTGGTGGGGGGGATCTTTTGTACGGTTGGATTAATAAAATGACTTGAAAATCCAGACAAGGACGCCTTGTTTATGTGCACAAAGTTTGGAAGGAGCCACTGTCATCCCTGGGAAGGATACTTGGGGGTGAGGATATGTATACCCCCCAGGGTCCCTGGAAGTGGGAATGGCAGAAAGATTCAGGCCCCTGAGCTGACCCTGGTACAAGCTGCTGAGCCAAGGGAGGCCCGTGTGTCCCGCCCCTCCCCATGTGTCCCGCTGTGAGGAACTGAGTTTCTTTTCCGAGCACATTCCTGGGCCGGGCCTGGAGCCAAGTGGGAGCTTTGGCTCCAAGGCCTCAGGGGGAAGAGTGCCCTTAGCGCTTCTGGGTTTAGCGCGTTCCCACCCCGCACCCCCTAGTTGTTTGTGTTAGGGGTCAAGTGTAACTCCAAGGGTGGGGGAAGGGGCTGCCCCTGGTCTAGCAGATTCAATTTTGAGGTGCTTTTCAGGCCCTCCCTCCGTTTTTAAAAAAGTAGCAGCGGCATCCTTAAACAATGTGCACTGGAGCGGGTGCGGAGAGTGGCAGGAAGGCTATTTCCAACCCGCAATTTGCCACTCTCCCCTCCCCCACCATGCAGCTGTTTCTGTCTATCCTGAGGCCAACCTGGCCCCTTGTCCCGTCGTCTAGGGAGATGCCACCTTTTGCCTTTAAGTTTTGAGTCTTCCCGCTAGGAACTGTTCAGACAACTGGGAAAGTCGGGGAGGTTACGCAAAATTCAGTTTGCTGGAACTCCTTTCTCTCACCGGAAGGTAAGCCCAGGTTCAAGGGCTGTACAGGTCCCCGCTCCCCTCCCTCGGCTCTCAATTGCAGCTATTATTGGCCAAAAGTTTCCGCCCCCTCAGGGAAGTTGACTTTCCATTGGCCAGTCCCTGGTCACATGACTCCCTCCTTTCTGGGGCTGGAAACCAGGGGAGGCAGCAACAAGTTCAGCCGAAGACTGAAGCAAGAGCCGGGTCAGGTAATGCCCCAGCAGGAAGGGGTCCACAGATCCCCTGTGAGAGGGAGGATGATGGAGAGGAAGGGCGGAGTTCGAAGGGTTGCGCTCCACTGGCATCTACAGAGCTGCTTGTCACTTCTGGGTCAGAGGAAGGGGGACCATGGGCTGCCTTTTCCAAAACGGGAATTTGCTGTGGGTCCCTCAGGCAAGTTCTGTGGCCCTCCGTCCTTTGCTTTAGAGGTTTAGGAGATCAACTCTTGGGTTGAAATTAGCTACATGAAACTTCCCAGCTTTGTACAGAGTGGCAGAGCTCCCCCTTTAGCTGACTTTTAGAAACAGCAGAAGTGTCTGACAATCCTCAGAGGATGTTTTTGTTGAATCCTGCCTGAATGGAAAGAGAGGAGGTAGTGGGGAGGGGGTGGAGGTGAGTTTTCTTCCAAGAGGTCGATGAGAAGAAAGAGATCTGAAAACACAGCGGGGAAGGGTGGAGATTAGACAGCAGAAGGAACTTCCTAATAAGGCAGTGAGATGCCGGCTTGGGAGAACAGGGGTATCTCTTGGAATCTTGGGTGAACCCAACTGAGAGAGGTATCGGGGTTTGGAACTCTGAGTGCAGGGGTTCCAGTCTGTCTCCTTTTTGGGTCTCAGAAGTGTTTGTCTTGTTGACCCAAATACCGTTGCTGGTTTCCATGGAGACAGTGGGTCTGACATCATTCTGGTTGCCATGGTGCCTGGTTCTGGAGGACCTGAGCAGGCTGTACACAGCCAGGGATAAACAGGGACTTCAGCCCAAGCTGCTGCCACTTCCTTCCTGCCACCACCTGTTAACAGTCACACGCAGCAACTGGGGATGGGGAGATAATGACAGAACAGTGGGGGAGGGGCCTGAGAGCAGAAGGCCGAGTGTACAGTGATGGCCCGATGGCTGCCTGTAGAAGCTGGCCAGGGGTGTCCTGTTGGACTTGGTGTGGGGAAGTCATTGCAGCCCTTCTCCTGTCTCCTTGTGGGATGGGTGCATGTGTCTGGTAGGCATGGGCATTGGGGAAGACACTGTGTGGTGTCCATCATCTGTCCCAGGCTTGGATCTTGATTGGCAAGGGCCACAGGAGGTTGTGAGGGCATTGTGCAGGGCTTACACCAGAACAAAGGGAAGGGGGCTGTGTGCTGGTTTCCCAAGGTAGGACTGCCATACTTCTCCCCCAGCCTCAGCCTCACTTCCCTTTCCCGGGGTTTCCTCGCAGAGTCCTTTTCCACTTGCCACCTTTTGAGCCCCTCAGTAAGCAGTCATTCACCCTCCTCTGAAGGATCACAATCCAAGACTCTGGGAGGTCAGGTCATCTATCCCCCCACCTTTATGCCAGGTCCCAGTTGCAGCTGGCCAGCCTCAAGGGACAGTCTTAGCCTTGGATGAAGCGGTAACTGTCTTCTTACCTTGTGTCAGGCTTTGGAAGCTGGAGTGACTTCCCACGCCCACTCTGCCAAGTCACAGCAGATTAGTGGGGGGCAGGACCACAGCCCTGATTTTTGTTCATGCTTTACAAACTGTAAAGTGCTTTATACATAATAGTTGTCATAGATCCCTTTTCCCAGTCACCTTCAAGTTCCCTAAGACAAAACTCTGGAGATTACTAAGAAGTGAAGCAGAATTTAGAATGGAGAGTGAGTGACAAGGAGGTTTACTAGAGGTACATTCAGACGGATCTTCACTGTGCCATTTGTTTTCAATCCTGGCTGCAGGTGAGAATGGGAGGTTTTAAAAAAGACCCATGTCTGAGCCGGACCCTGAAGCCAACTGAGTCAGGATCTTAGGTGATTCCAGTGTGCAGCCAGTGCTGAGAGTCCTGAACTAGACCATACAAAGGATTTATGGTGGGTGGGCGGGAGACTTAAGGCTGAAGGAGGCCTTCAAGTCTTCTCTTCCAGGCCCTAGGAGTGGAGGTGGTGATTGTGGGGGAACCTGGGGTGGTGAAGGGGGGCTGGGTTGTTTCCCCCACTTTTCTTCATAACTTCATCTTAGCAGGTCAAGTCAGTCGCCCTTTTTGACCTTCATCTTTCCTGACTATAACATGAGGGAGTTGGCCTGCATTTTCCCCAAAGCCTTTCCAGACCTATGCTTCTTTGACCTTTCAAGGTCCATTCAGTTTCCCAAGGCCCTGGGAGAGGCAAGCTTCACTGTGGGCGGTGGCAGGTTCTGATTTGCAAGGCAAACACTGCCCAGAAGAGTTCAGGTGTTAGGGTCAGAAGGGCTGAAACCAGGCTTGTTCTGGAAGCTGCTGCCCAGCCTGTAAACCTTGGAGCCCAGCCAGGGCTGCTCTCTGCATCCTGCCTCTCCTGAAGGGACCTGGGGTCCTTAAGAGAGCTTTTCTTTGCAGGTGGCAGCCACAGCAGCCTCGGGGACCTTAGCAGCTATGGCCTCCTGCCCAGACCAGGACAATAGCTGGGTGCTTGCTGGCTCAGAGGTAGGAAAAGCAGGCCTGGGAGCCACAGGGAAGGGAGGTTCCTGCAGGGCTGGGCTGCTGTCTGGGTCCTGATGGTCACCTGCATCACCTCCTGCTGGCTGTGACAGGAACCTTAGTGGCAGGGAGAAAGAGATGAGGTCCTCGGAGTCAGGTATTGGGACTTGGACTGTGCCTTGAAAGAAGGGTACCACTGGAGTAAGCTGTGAGAAGCAGGGAAGAAATTCTGGTGGGGACAACAGTATGAGCAAAGGTCCTGAGGCAACAATGGCAAAGCTATGTTGGAGGAGACTGTGAGGAGGTCCATTGGATGAGGGGGAGATATGGATGAGGCAGTGTTGGAGTGAGGTTGGGAGCAGAGCCTGGGAACCTCCAGGAGAGGCCTGAAGGGCTGGCTCAGGCATTCAGGCCTCATCCTGATGGGAAATCACTGAAGGGCTTCAAGTCGGAGGGATTGAGGACAGTCATTGCTTTGGACAGAGGGTGAAGCCACTGTGTGGGCTGGGTGGGTAGGGGAGAGTGTTTTGAAGGTCCTGCAGTCCAGGTAGTAGTTGGTGGGGCAGGAACCCAGTGGACTCCTGTGCTCCTGAAGCCACTGAGAAGGGAGGGTGGGGCTGGCAGGCTGGGGGACTGAGTGGCTGGAGAAAGTTTGTCAAGGGGTCCGAGCCCCAGTGGCTTGGCATGTTAGACCTGCCAGGAGGGGAGAAGGTGAGGGGCTCAAGTGAAACCTATCGAATTTGAGTGCCCTTGAGGAGCCTGGTTGGGAGTGAGGGAGCTGACCTCAGGGATGACGCTGGGGCAGGACACATGGACTGGGGCTCGCTGGCAGAGGGGACGAACCCCATGCTCTCAGCCAGAGCCCTGGCCTCCTGTTGAGGTGCCTTTGCCGACAGCTGGGGGACCTGGGGCAAGCCGCTTCACCCCTCCATCCTTCCCTGTAAAAAGAGAGTTGTGTTCTCGCCTTGTAGGGGTGGCCGTAAGAAAAAAGGGATTTGAAAATTGCAGAGAAACATACTAAGGTCAAGAATTATTCTGGGAAGGATAGCGGGAGCCGTGGATGGGGTGAGCAAGGCGGTGCGCCTGCCGAGGGAAGCCTGTGGGGAACGTGACTGTGACCCTTGGGCGCCCAGGGACTTTGCTCTCTTGCCATCCTCCCACCTTCCAACCAATAACTGTGTTGTTCATTTGTAGGGAGGGAGGGAATTGTTGATGATCTTGGTTGAGGGGAGATCTAGGCTCTAGCTGGCTTCTCTGGGAGGTGGGATGGGGTGGGGTGGGGTGGGTGGGTACAGCGGTCCTGTCCTTGGTCCAGTGGTGCTGCGTTGTATAACAAAAACATGGCCTCTGAAAGTTCCTCAGAGCAGCAAGTGAGGTTAGGGAATGGCCAGACACCACACGGAGCTGAGAGGCTGCAGCGCCCACTGACCACCCCCTCCCTGCCCGAGGATCGCCTCACTACTCACTGTATCATATTTTTGTGAGATGTGCATTGGGGTCCCTGTGCAGTGGGCTGATCTCGGGGACCTCAGCAGAGCACCCCACACTCCTGGTTTTGTCCTGCTATCCCTCCTCTGAGGTAGTCGTTCTGCTTGCGCCCCTTCCCCCAGAGCCTGCCTGTGGAGACCCTGGGTCCAGAAACCAGGACAGACCCAGAGTCTGAAAGAGCTGCCCAGGCCCCTAGGAGCCCCTCCACGGTAGATGATGGATTAGCTGGGACCTTGGATGGAGAAGGTAAGAAGGCCCTGCTGAGGGTGGGGGGGCAGCTTCCTCTTCTCCATGTTCTGGGGTTTCCCAGTTTCCTCAGGGGAAGGGAGGCTGGTTAGTTTTATTTCCCAGGTTAATCTCAGTTTAAAACCTCTTCCCTCATTCCATCCTGGCTTTTTCCTGCCCCTTCCAACCTGGTGGAGCCTGTGGGAGCCAGAGGCAGTTCAGCTGAGGGGCAGTCGTGTTTTTCCTGGGCCTTTTCTCTCACCACAGAGACCGTCTTCCAGAGTGAAAGCTCCCAGTCTGGTCCCATTCTGCCAGAGGAGACCGAGGCCAAGGTGAGCCCCTTCACGGGGGGAGGAAGGGCAGTGGGGAGGGCCAGTAGCAACTCACGGCTGTGTCTGCATCAGGGCATCGTGGAAGATGATGGTCGTGGAGTGGAGCCCCCAGGCCCAGGAAACACAGTGTCCCAGGGAGACTTGGAGGAGACTGTGGTGGCAGCCCTGGGACCAGACACACAGGACCTGGAGGACCAGAGCCCCCCACAGAGTCTGCCCTCATCCCCCAAAGCAGGTGAGAGTCCTTGTCTCTGTGTGTCACTATCCTTCTAGAAGATGTGGGAGTGGGAGTAGCCATCACTACTGAGTACAGCTCTGGTCCAGACCCTAGGACTTAGCAGCTTGTTGTCCTCCTTAAATTATATCAGTGAATCCCCACCACCACCCCTGGAGACAGTGAGACTCAGAGAAGTTAAGTGACTTGATCAAGGTCACACAGCTGGTAAGTGGCAGGGCCAAGGTCTGGTTGACTTTTTCCTCTCTGCCATGGGGCTCCTCTTTTCTTACCTCTCGATTTACCCCTCATTCCCTGAGTCCCTTCCGTGTGTCAGTTCTGGGCCCAGGGGAGGAGGGAGGGTGAGTGGTTCATGGCCTATGTAAGAGGCAGACTAGACTGAGTCAAGATACAGGTCAGACCTAGGAGGGGTGTGAAAGGGAGGTGTAATTAAGGTGCTCCCACGGCGGGGAGGGCGGTTCAGTCAGGGGACAGGTTGAGGGGAAGGGAGAGGCAGGGACAGTTGAGAAAAGATTCATATTGGAGTTGACATTTGAGTGGAGGCTTGAGCAAACAGTAGGCTTTCGGTAGGTAGGGTAGGAGGGAGAGAACATTCCAGGCCAAGGCTGCAGCATCAGCAAAGGGATGGGGCCACCTGTCCTGTGCTAAGGAGGCTGCGTCCCAGGCTTGTGGCAGAGGAGGGTATGACTCCATCTCTGTTGAAGGGTGACAGGGTAGAGGGAGAGGCCAGGGCGTGGGGCCATCTAGGAGGCAGCTTCAGGGGTCAGGTGAAGCTGATGAAGACCTGCGCTGTGGCAGGTACAAGGGTGCGAAGGGGGGTTGGTCAGGATGTTGAAGTGTCAAGGTGTCTGCGTGTGAGGTGAAAAGAGAGGGCTTAGGTTGGCTGGATGATAGCGGGGGTGCCTTTCCCTGCATTGGGGGAACCCCGGAAGAGAACCAGTTTGGAGGGCAGCGTGTTGAGTGTTTGGTCCCCGAGGGACACCCAGATGGGCGTGGCTGGTAGGCAGTCAGAGGTCCAGGCCTGGAGTTCAAGGGAGGCCGGGTCAGGAGGTAGAGATGAGGGATGAATCTGCTATAGGGGGAAGTCAGTGGTGTGGGAGAGAGAGTGGGTCACTGTGTGCATAGTGAGAAGAGCAGAGAACAAATGGTGCCAGGGAGACCACCACCTTTAGGTCCAGGAATGGCCAGGGAGGGGCTGAGAAGGAATGGCCACAGTTAGGACAGAACCAGGAGGGTGGCAATAGCTGCAGGAACTTGATGCACGACACGCATTGGGGGAAGGAGGGTGTTCTTAGGATGGAAGCTGCTCATGTGCTTTATAGATTGGATGGACTGGTCTCCTGCCTCCAGACTGGGCAGGGACGGTCACTGATGCCCAGGCAGACGTGGGCAGGGTCTCCACCTGCCTCTCTCTCTGGTCAGGGCTAGGGGCCTCCCCGTGTCTTCCTCCACTTCTCTTCTCTCCGTGTCCCGTCTCTCCAGTTGCCTGACCGCCCTGTCCCCATCGCTTCCTCCAGCTTGGATCAGGGAGGAGGTCCGATGCTCCAGCAGTGAGGATGACACTGACATGGATGTGGAGGGTCTGCGGAGACGGCGAGGCCGGGAGCCCAGCACGCCTCAGCCTGCAGTGCCCCTGGGTGTGGAGGACCAGGCCAGGGGTGAGGGTGCGGACGGGAAGCTGGGCATCTCCCTCAACATGTGCCTCCTCGGGGCCTTGGTTCTGCTGGGCCTGGGGCTCCTCCTCTTCTCCGGTGAGTCCGGTACGTCCCCTGCTGGCGCCTTGAGCCTCCACTCTGGTCCTTCCTGCCCTCCTCCCATGCTTTCACCACACTCCAGCACCTCCCCTGAAGACCTCACCCTGTTCCTCTGTCTCCATCCTCAGGTGGCCTCTCAGAGTCTGAGAGTGGTGAGTGGGGAGGGGCCCTGGCTTGTACACGTCTGTCCCCTCCCAACCCTGTGGGAAGCTGACGGGGGTGGTTCTCTGGGTCAGGAGTAGGGATGCTGGGGGCTGGACATTTATTACTTGGTTATTGGCCTTGCCAGCTATTCAGGGTGATCCTTGGCCCTTTACCTCCCTGGACCTCTCAGCCATAGGTGTGTCCAGGGCAGGAGGGTGACTGTGTCTGTGGGTGGGTAGGGGGAGGAGTGGGCTCTGTGTCCCTTGGGGCCAGTTTCAGGACTTCACATTCCCACAGGACCCATGGAGGAAGTGGAACTTCAGGTCTTCCCAGATACCGGGTCAGATGCTGAGATGATGGATGCTGTGGGGGATGGGCAGGTAGGTGTGAATGTCTCCAGAGGTGTTGGGGTCCTGGTCGGGGAGACTCGGGGCTGCCTGGGCTGTGGGGCAGGGTGGGCTGACTGGATCATTTGCTCTCAGGATGGGCTAAAGCAGCAGCTGCAGGCCTCAGTGCCCTCTGATAGTGTCCCCAGCCTGCAGAACATGGCCCTTCTGCTAGACAAGCTGGCCAAGGAGAACCAGGACATCCGGCTGCTGCAGGCCCAGCTGCAGGTGGGTACAAACAGGAGAGGATGGGCTAGGCTGGCCCCCCCCAGGCCAGGTGTCTGTCCTCGTGTCCTCCCCCAAAAGAAGTTTCCCCTATTCACCCACACCCCTTGAACCTCTCCCTTTCCCACTATGGTCAGGTCATCTTCCTAGTTCTCTGTTCACATCTCTCATGCTAAGGTTTAGGCCGGGGCTGGCGTACTTGTTTCAAGTGACATGCCACCTCTGATTGGTATAGTCTGCCTGGAGCATTGTGTGGAGAAAGATTTGAAGAACATGCCAAGGTTCAATGGGAAAGAAGTACTGTGATCAATTAATGATGTCTGCTCTGGATATGGGAGGTGGAAACAGGGCAATGAGAGCTGCATATTGGTTATCCTTAGGTGAATCGAAGAAGTGTGTGCTTATAAAAGGACATAAAAGCTGAGGCCCGTGATGGAATTTGGGGATCCCAGGGTCTGGTGCAGGTTGCAGATGGGGAGGAGGATGAGAACCAAATCCTCTGAGTGTCCCAGGCCGTAAAAGGGGCTTGGGCCACCTGCCCACTATAATGGAATGGAATTGGGGTAGAAGGCACTGGACCCATCCTGACTAGGACCCTCCTGTGGTGCCCTCCATCCCTACCCCCATTCCAGGCCCAGAAGGAAGAGCTTCAGAGCCTGATGCATCAGCCCAAAGGGCTGGAAGAAGAGAATGCCCGGCTTCGGGGGGCGCTGCAGCAGGGTGAGGCCTCCCAGCGGGCCCTGGAGTCAGAGCTGCAGCAGCTGCGGGCCCGGCTCCAGGGGCTGGAGGCTGACTGTGTCCGGGGCACAGATGGGGTGTGCCTCAACTGGGGCAGAGGTCCGCAGGCTGGCAAGGTCATCAAGCAGCAAGACCCCAGGTGGCAGGAGCCAGGCCCTGGCTTTCTGGAGCAGAAGGAACAGCTAGAGGCTGAGGCCCAGACATTAAGGCAAGAGTTGGAGAGGCAGCGGCGGCTGCTGGGGTCTGTGCAGCAGGACCTGGAGCAGAGCCTAAGGGACGTGGGCCGAGGGGACCCAGCTCATGCTGGCCTGGCTGAGCTGGGCCACAGACTGGCCCAGAAGCTGCAGGGTCTGGAGAACTGGGGCCAGGTCCCTGGGGTCCCTGCCAATGCCTCAGAGGCCTGGCATCAGGAGCCCCACTTCCAAAGTTCCAGGGAGCAGAGTGGAAAGGAAAAGTGGCGGGATGGGAAGGGGGACCGGAAGGCTGAGCACTGGAAGCATAAGAAGGAGGAATCTGGCCGGCATAGGAAGAAGAGCTGGGAGGATGAGGATAGGGAGCTGGCAGGGAGGTGGAAGGAGGGCAAGCCAAGGGTGGAGGAGTGGGGCAGAAAGAAGGATGGCAAGTGGCAGGGCCCTAAGGAGCCCCCCAGGAAGAGTGGGAGCCCCCACTCTAAAGAAAGGCAGAGGCAGCCTCGGTGGAAGGAGGGGGCTAAAGACAGGCATGACCCCCCACCACCCTGGGCAGAGCTGTCGAGGCATAAGTACCAGGCACCCCAGGGCTGCTCAGGTGTGCACGAATGTGCCCGGCAGGAGGGCCTGGCCTTCTTTGGCATGGAGCTAGCCCCAGTGCAGCAACAGGAGCTGGCCTCTCTGCTGAGGACGTACCTGGCGCGGCTGCCCTGGGCCGGGCAGCTGACCGAGGAGCTGCCCCTCTCATCTGCTTACTTTGGCGAGGATGGCATCTTCCGCCACGACCGCCTCCGCTTCCGGGACTTTGTGAATGCCTTGGAGGACAGCCTGGAGGAGGTGGCGGTGAGACAGACAGGTGATGATGATGAGGTGGATGACTTTGAGGACTTCATCTTCAGCCACTTCTTTGGAGACAGAGCACTGAAGAAGAGGTGGGCAGCTGTGGGGGACTTGGGTCGGGTGGGACAAGGGGAAGGAGGCCAGGGGACATGAAGGATCTAGTTGCCCTGAGTTGGGTCTTCAGTTTGAGGTCTTACCTCCACTTTTAGTCCCCCGCAGGCTTACCTTAGAGAAGGCATCCTTTCCCATCTTCCCCTGAGGGCAGGAAGCCGCCTGTGCTCACCCTACAGTGGTCCTGGGAGTCCCCTTTTGGGCTGGGAAAGTTCCTCCTGAGTTGTCCTGACCTGCCTATACCTGCATGGCCCAGGGGGTAAGGGAGATTGCTCCCCACCTCCCTGCCTCCCCAACTGGGGCCTCCATCCTGGGGATCCAGGTCTGGCCCCCTGACGTGACTGGTGGTGGTTGCCTCTGTGTTCCCTCTCCTCAGGGAGGCCCTTCTCATCGTGTGCCGTTGTCCTCTGAAGGCCTCTTCCTGCCCCTCCCCATGTCTCCCCACAGGTCAGGGAAGAAGGACAAACACTTGCGGGGCTCCAGAGTTGTGGGGCCCAGGGAGGAGCACAGCCACCACACCCGGGGCTGAGGCCTGGTGTTATCTGAGCCCTGGGGACTGTTAAACTGCCAACTCCAGCAGCAGCCCTGCACTGATGCCACCTTTGCTAGAAAAAGGCCTTAGCTGGACCTGCCTTGTCATCTATGCAAATATATGCAAATGCTCAGGGCCCTGCGATGGGACCCTTGGCTGCCTGTTGGTGTCATGCCACTGTGAAGGGGGGATGGGAGAGGAGCTTGTGTTTTGTGGGGAGCGGGGTGGGGTGGGAATGGCATTCTGATTCTGAAGCCAAAGAGCTTTCATCCAGTTCTGTGTCTGTATGCCCCCAGAGCGGGCCCCTTGGCTGCACACACTGACCTGTGCTGCCCCCTGGGATTCGACTAGAGTTGCTGGCTGGAGGCCCAGCCTGAGGGCTTTCCCTGGGGTTTTGTTAGATTTGGAGCAGCTGTCCCCAGGGGGTGAAGTCCCCTTTTTACCCCTGCTTCTCACGTGGCTTCACTTCCCCATGTGAACTAGAGACTCAGATCCCAATAAAATGCTGTTGGAGCTGTGACATTGGGTGGGGGCTCTGTCACTTGGGGTGGCTTCTAAGCACAGGGGACACCCCACACTACCGCCTCCTTGGCTTTGGTACTCACCTCCGTCTCCCATAGCTCCCTTCCCCCTCACCTCATCCTCCCAGCAGACCTCAGGCCCTCTGGGTCCGCCCACCCCTTTGCCCCTTTGCTCTCAGCTGCCGTGGCTGCACCCCTGGGGGATGGAGAAGAATGAGCGTGAGTTTTGGAGGCTGAGACTTGGGCTCAAATCCAGGCTGAGTGATCTTGCACAAGTTAATCTCTGGGAGCCTTGGGTTTCTTATTCTAAGGAAAAGGGGATTGAAGGGCTGGGGGAGAGATTAAATAAAGCAATGTAAGCAAAATGCCTGTCCCGTATTTGGTGCTGCAAAGTTCTTTCACTCCCTTCAGGGTGTGGAGGAGGGAGGAGAGGTCCCCCTTCCCCCTCCACCAGGCTTCTGGGGTTGGAGAGGAGAGGGTGCCACTAGGTGGCGCCCTGGCTCCACATTTGCTCCCCACCTTGCCTCCCCCAGCACTTAGTGCCCCAAATCTCGCACCCCAACCCACTGACCCGGGGCCTGCCCCACTGACAAGCTCTCCCAAGAAGCCCCAGACCCCCCAGGCTACTCTTTAGGAAGTCCTTCCTGACTCGGCTTCTCCGGAAATCCCGCAGCGTGTGCAGAGCACGGGGTGGAATGATGTGGTGTGACTTCAGCCCAGGTCAGAGGAGCCTAGTCAGTTACCGGGGGAGGGACTGCAGGCTCCACAAGGGGGCTGTGATTGATTCCTGTCCTCTTCAGCAAGGGCTGATGTAACACAGACTGACGTGCCAGGCGCTGTTCGAGAGCCCCGTGTGTATTAGCTCACTGATCAGGTGTGGGGTGGGATGGGGCAGGGCGGGCTGGGGATGGAAGAAGGTCCACTCGTTCAGTCTGTTCTGTCCCAGAAACAGTGAGGCCCTGGGAATACAGAGGCGCCTTGAGGAGCTTTACAGTCGGGTGGAGCCCGCTTTCTGCAACAGGAGAGACTGCAGTTAGACCTAAGGAAGAATTTCCTCCTAGGCAGAGGGTCAGTGATGGGCGCTGTAGGGGGCTTTAGGCAAGGAGTCTTATATTTCTGGAGGGGGTGGGGTTGGGAGGAGCAAGCACAGGTTGGCCCAGGGCCAGGGCCTGGGTTTGGCCTCCTGGCTCTGTGACCATCGTCCCTCAGGAGGAGGCCTAGTTTAGCCTGTTCATATTGCTCGTCCCTGCTGGTGCTCAGAATTCATGCGGCCTGAGCAGCTGACTGGTGACCTTGGACTTCCAGGAGAGACTCAGATTAGAAGGTGGGCAGGCTTCAGTGTCCTTGGAGGGGACACAGACTGGCCTCCCTGGGTTCCCAGAGGGTGTTGACTTCACTTGGGCCGCTTGTGGCTGCTCACTTTCATTTCTAGGCCCATTTCCGTCGTTTGCATAACGAACTCTCAGGGAGGCTAAGAAGTTCCCCCAAGCCCCCTCCTCTTCCTGACCCATGCAGGAAGTAGACATGCTGAGTTGCAGGTTTTTGAAACTGCTGAATCGGAGAAAAAGAGAGCCATGAACCCAAGGGGTATGTTGGGGAGGATCAGGGCACCAGGGACATTGGTCACTCAGATTACCCTCTCTGGGGCGCCCTTGACCCGTGATCCTCGTGCCCATCTCCGGTTATGAGGCTCCCTCTCCATCACACCCACAGCAGCACTGGTAGAGAGGAGACCCCAGGTCCCAGGTCATAGATCAGCGGATGGAGATGAGCCAAGGGAGGCTGGAGCTGGGGGACAGTACTCCGTCCTTCCCAAGGGCTTGGGGACAGCTCCTGGCTGGGTGGGGGTTGGGGTAAGCCTGTGGGTAGACCCCCTGGACTCTGCCAGCATCCCTGCTGGCTCCCAGGGTCCGGTCTGGGTCCTTCCAGTGTAAATATTTGGTATTTTGAGCACTTGGCTTTTCTGCCCTTTCCTCTGGGTGCTCCCCCACCTAAGAGCTCAGCTCTGGGGCCGTTTGGGGGAATCGCTGGATTTAGGGGTCGCCCTCTTGGCCCTTTCCCTCTCAAAGGGAAACATTCTGCTTCCTTTGGCCAGCCCCCCAAATTCATTTCCCAGCTGTCTCCCAACCTGCTATTCTTCTCCTATCTGTGCCCTTCATTCTTCAGCCTCGCTCCCCTTCCCAGGCACCTCCAGCTGCCATCTCTCCACTGCCCTCAGCAGGGCCTTCTCTCAGTAATGCCCCTTCAGCTGTGACCTCCCCTGGGACTTCTCCCATCCTCCCTGCCTCCCCAGGTCCTCCAGGCCCAGCCTTTCCCCACTGCCTTCCACTCACACCCATCCTGGGGTGATGGGGTGGGGGTAGTGGTTAGCATGTGGGGGTGGGTCACCTTCAAGCCTGTACCACCCCTATAAGCTCCTTGAGAGGCATGTGTTCTTTTTGAGAACCACTCCTAGCCCTCTCTGCTGGGCCCAAGGACAGATATGGGACTGGCATCTCCATAGCTGTTGCCATGGAAACCTCCAAGGGCCACCTTGATGCAGGGACATCTCCTCATCTAGTCCTGTTCTGGGCTGCAGGTGTTCCTGGTCCCTTCACACTTCTCATGCTCACAGCCGGTCTAGTAGGGACACTGCAGGGAGGGGGTGGGGGCTGTTGCCCCCAAACCCAGACAACAGTCCCTCCCCTCCCCTTTCACCACTCAGCCGCCTGAGCCGCAGAAGCCCCTTGTCAACCAATTCTTGTTGAGTTGTCGGTGCTCCCTACCCCTCCCCTTGCGGGCCTTCCTTTAAGGGTGCTGCCCCTCTCTTGGGTAGCCCTTGGCTTCCAGAATAGGCCCTGTCCTTCACCCGTTCATCCTGGGCCAGATGGAGGCCCAGCCCAGCTCTCTTCTAACTAGACCTTTGGCCTGGGCAAGCTTTGAGTCAGAAAACCCAGTCTCAGGTCTCCACCACTGCCCACCTGTGGGTCTGGGGCATGATGTCCATCCTCGCTGTAGGGCTCAGCTTTCTCTTCATTAAAGTGGAGACTGTAGACACCGTCCCTCATAGGTTGTTGTGAGAATGAAATGAGTCACTGTAAGATAAATGAAAAGCATTTTCAAACTGTACAATACTGTCTAAAATAGTAGTTATTTTTATTTTACTTAATCTCTAAGGGGAAACTGGAGTCTCTGTGAGCAACTGATAGAGGAGGAGAGAGGGTGTTGGTTCCCAAACCACGTAGCAGGAGCTGGCAGGGAAAAGATGCTAACTAGCATTCAAGTCCCAACGCTGCACTAGGTGCCGTGGGGACCCCAATCCTTGCCCCTCTGGCTAACTGGATTAGTTCAACATAAAGCAGAATTTTAAAAGTATTTTCTTAATAGTGCTAAGGAGGAGTCAGCCAAAGGGGTGAAGAGGAAGGAGGTGTCGCCTTTGAGCTGGACCTTGAAGGATAATAGGATTTCAGTGATGGGGGAGGGGATTTCAGGCTGGGCAAAGGTGAGGCCTGAGTGCGAGTGGAACAGGCTTGTGGCCAGATGGTTAAGTTCCTGTTCATGAGGGAGCACATGTTCCTACAGGCCTGCCTGCAAATCTCCGGGGCAACTTTACTATAAGAGATGGGAAGGGTGCCACTGGAGGCATTTGGGGGGCACGGAGGTGCCTGTGTGAGGGAAGATACATGTGGGTGCAGTGTAGCTGGCAGCCAGAGGGAGGGAATGGAGAGATACGAAATTGGAGGGAGGTAGGAGGTATCAGCCAACAGCCCGGGGAGAGAGAAGACATTTAGAGCAGTGAATTAGAATGGCTTGGCCTTGGATGGCACAAGGACAGGGGAGTGGGAGGAGTCAAGGACACACTCAGCTTCTCAGCCTTGTGACAGTGGATGACTGCATCTTCAAGCAGTGCCGGGAAAGCAGGAGGAAAGGTGAAGCAGGTTTTGTAGGGAATCGGGGGAGGGGGAAGGAAAGCACTGGGCTTGATTTTGCAGGACATGGGCCTGGGAATAGAGCCAGCCTCCCAGCAGCTCACTCTCTGCTCCACCAACGTGCACGTCCCCACCTCCTGGTCCTTGTGCCCCCTCCACCCACAATTCCTCCCCAGGGCAGGGCCCCTTTGGAGAAATTCTTACTAGCGTGGGACACTTACCTTTACTGAGCCTGAGGGGAGGCGCCCAGCCGAGGGGAGTGACTTGTCCACTGAGGTCATCACTGGGACGCTTTCCAGCATCAAAGGGCCAGGTCAACCAACTGGGGCAGGACAGGCAGAGACGTGAAGCTACGCGCTGTGGAGAGAAAGTGTCAGCAGCCCCCTTTGGAAGGTCAGTTGCCCAACAGAGAACCATAAATGCTTTTGTGCATCTGGAATGTGGCCTTGGGGCCCTTGCAGAGGCAGCTGTGTAGGGAGGGACCAGGGCAGAAAGAGTGACATGAGGCCTGCAAAGAAACAGGCCACCCCTCTCACCTACTTGGGCCACGAACTTCTCAGAGCCCTTCTGTCCCTCTTATCTCACTGAGAAGTAGACCTGGAAGAAGGTAAGACCATGACTATCTCTATTTTACAGATGAAGAAACTGAGATAGAGATGAGGTGACTTGCCTAAGGTCCCGTCATAGCTGGATAGTGACATGAAGGAAGACTGGCCCCCAGGCAGCCCTTAGGACACTAGTGCGCATCTGAATTGTCCAGGACCACTGCTCGCCACTCCCCCACCCCAAGCTGACCCGGAGGTTGGAAGCAACAGCTGAGCTCCCATCTGTGGGTCTCTTTAGCTGACTCCTCCTCCCTGAGCCTGTGCACCCCCCCACTTCAACTACCTGGGCACCTGGCCCTGGAGGAATGTCCTCTCTAGCCATCACTTGCTACCTTCTTGATCCCAGCTTGTGAACAGGAGAAGGCCAGCTTTGGAGGGGCCCTTCGTGAGCATGAGTCCACCACTTTTGTTGTTCAGAGGTGGAAACTGAGGCCCAGAGAGGGAAGTGACTTGTCCAAGGTCACAAAGCTTGCTAGGGACAGAGTGGAGACCAGAGCCCAGGGCTGCTGACCCCTGACTGAGTCCCCCTGGTCCTCCTCCCTCCCCTCTCCTCCTCTCTCTGGCTCTTCAAGCTTGGAATTTAGGCTCTGAGGTGAGCTCTGGGGGAGCTGCTTGCTACAAGACAGGTTCTTCCTTGTCCTGTCCATGAGCGCTGACTTGGCTCAGGGCTCCTTCTGCAGAGATGCCTGGCAGTGGCCACAGGGGGGCAGCAGCAGGAGAGACAGGAGGCTGGACCTGCTGAGGACTGGGATGGGAGGGAGGGGCCTCCCGGAGCTGCCCCAGGAACCAGAGCAACTGGGTATGAGGTCTCAGCCTTGAGGATACCCACAAAGCACCGTTCTGGCCCAGGAGTGAAGTCCTGGCCTCCCAACTCTCCCCGAAAGAGCCCCTATTCATTCACCCATTCATTTATTCATCAGTCATTTTTGGAGCATTACCCTGTGCCTGGCCCTGGGCTGGCACCACTTGATTTGCTTTCCACCAGCCTGGTAAAGGGTGAGAAGAGCACTGGGGGTAAAAACACAGGGAAGGGGTCACCACTCCTGCCGAGGCAGGGCCTGCGTGTCCAGGGGGCCACCCTGGCTGGAAACGGGCCTGGCTCCACCATTTCTAGCTCCTGACTTTGAGACAAGTCTCTCAATCTCCTTTTGAAAATAAACCTCAACCTTTATCACCAAGATTGTTGAAAAACAGTAAAATGAAACCAATCACTCTTTAACAGTAGTTGAAATGGGATTAATTCCCAGCTCCAAGGTTTACATTCGCTACAAAATTATCTAATAGAAAAACAAAAATATTTCCCTAAATTATGAATCTTTGTTCTGAAAAAAATCTCTGTTCTCTCATTGTATTCTGGATTTCGGTAGCCACCATCCTTGGGGATGTTAGTTAAAGTTTTGGAGACTGTTTCTTTTGAAAATGGGAGGATCCTTGCTTGCCTACACTATGCATGTGATAAAACAAGAATATGAAGTTAAAAGTATTTACAAACTATAGTAAATGCTCTGTGACTGCTAGAGGCATGTCTGTAGATGAGTTGATATTAATTTACACATCGCTCAAGATTTATCTTGGCTGTGCTCATTCAATGGTGCCTTTGTCTCCTCAGCCATAAAAATGAAGGTAATATGTCTACCTCCTAATGATGGAAATAATTTGTAGACCAAGGACTGAACAGGAGAGCCCAGCTTTCCACATTGGTGTGCCGGAGGGGTTGTAGCGGCCGGTGAGAGGTTGGATGGTACCCTGGCACCACCTCAAGTGAGCAGCCTCTCTCCTCCAGGGACATCTGCCTGCAGCATTTCTAAAAGCTAGAGAATCCTGCAGAGTCAGAGCTGGCCGACCTGATGTTTTCTCTGGCTTCCCCCTCCCTGGGCACTGAAAGCATCTGGGGAGGGGGTCAGGAGAGGAGTGGGATCCTAAGGCTCTGCCTCTTGGTTGGTTGGTTTGGAATTTTTTGCCCCTTCTCCCTGGAGTGGGACCCCAGGGAGGGAGCACATGTACACGCATCTATTCGATAAATTCCTGGGCAAATCTCTTCATTATAATGAGGCTCAGTGGTCTCAGTGTTTATGTCATATGATCAGCAAAAAGTCTGGCACATCGTAAATGCTCCATAAATAGTAACTCTTGGCTCTGTAAGGGAGAGAGATGAGTGAATTGATCGAAGTGTCGTGTAAGATGCTGCGATAGGGTGAGTCCGGGGTGTAGCAGGAGCACAGGAAACGGGTATCTAAGGCAGACGGGGTCAGGCAGGGAAGGCTCATGGGGGGAGTCAAGACAAGCTCAGTGTCGAAGTGTAAGTTGGAGTGTGTTTTACAGAAAAAAGATGGGAAGGGTATTGCAGGCGTTTGCATAGTTAGAGCCATTTCCAGCTTATAATCAGAGCATCCGGCAAGTGTTAATTCATGTCAATTTTCCCTCTCCAATTTTGGGGTGAAGTCTCTCACGCTCCATTTTTAAGCTGTCTTGTAATTGCCTGTCTCCCATGAGAATGGGTGCTCTTTGAGAGCAGGCCCTTTTTCATTTACTGTTGCGTCTCTGGCAGTACCTGGCACGTTTTAGACATCTGAATACATGTTGAATGAATGAATGAATGAATGAATAGACTTCTCTCCCATCAGCACCCCAAAGACTCAGACTCCCCCTCTTCTCTTTCCCTGTTGTACCACTTCTTTACACCTCTCACCCCATTCTGTCCCTCGTCTGCGAGGCTCCATTGCCCCTGAAGCAATGGTCGTTGAACACAGAGGGCTGATTCACAAGCCACATGTACATTTTTTTTTTTTTTTTTAATTTGAGTGAGTTTATTCTGAGCTTAAATCTGAGGATTATAACCCAGGGCCTTTCTTCCCGAAGGAAGAAAGGGCACGAAAGAAGTGGAGTGCACAGAGTGGTTATATACCCCCAGAGAGGATGTTTCACATAGGATTGAAATGTCCCTTTTACAATAGTCACGAGTCTGCTTTGTCAGCACAGCGATTGATGGAAACAGCAGGTAGGTCTTCTGTCTCAGAGACCACAGCAGGGTGGCAGTCTGTTGTCTCCAGCTGAGTGGTCACAGGTGAGCTGGGTGGTCAAAGATGAGTGCAGCAATCAGTTCCTCGCCTAAGGAAAGATGCTTATCCCTAAGGAAATGCCTACGTTGGGGGGAAGTTGCACCTTTATCTCAAGGGCCTTTGTTCTGGCCATAGGAAATGTCTAAGTAGATATACAATGTGTGCTCAACAGCCACAGTCAGGCCCTTTTGGTAAAAACAAAGTCAGGCCGAATTAGGAAGCCACATGTACATTTACGAGCACTGGCAGAGAGGAGTGCTTGGATCAGCTGGGCAATGACCGTGGGAAGATAAACTGGAATCAGAAGTGTGGAGTTGAAGCAAGGGTAACTGGTCGTGTCACTGAGCCCGGATGGCATCTGGTTCCACTATGGGACAGGCTTACGTTGGAGAGGCAGACCTTGGCACCCCCTGCAGGCTCCCTCTGCCTGGGCAGGGTTGGAGGGGCACTGACAAAGCCCAGTCCTCCCTCTTCCAGGCTCTGCAGAGCTCTATAAGCAGACCCCCTGCAGGCTAAGGCTGTCTCTGGGTGTGTTAATACAGTGAGCAGGATTCCTTCAAACAGGCCTAGATTTGACCTCCAAGCTGCCCTCTCGGTCGGTGAGGCAAATCTCTCTTTAAATGGTTTGCCCCTTTAGTGAGGGGTGACTCCTAGGGGTAATTGTGTTCCTGAGTGCTGGGGGTCTTGTCTCTGTTGTCTGAGGTCAACTGGCTTCCTCAAGCATCACCTTCTGGACCCCTCCATGAGGCCACCGTGTCTGGCATCCCCAAGAACTCTGGCCACTCCCTTCCTGGGTTGTCTCTGCTCATCAGACAATCCTGCTCCCCTCCACTTTCCTGCCTCACCCTTAGCAGAGCCCAGCCCTTCTACCCTAAAAATAGTGCCTCACCTTTATGCAGCCCTCTACAGCTTACAAAAGTTTTCCACACGTATCCACTTATTTGATGTTCCCCTTGGTTGCAGAAGGAAGGAAGAGCAGATGTTATATACTGTAAAGAGGTCCATGGGCTAGTGCGGGCCCTGGGAGGGAAGCATTGCTCTGGGGGAGTATTGGAGCAGAGAATCTTGGAGGGTAAGGTGGCTGAGCATGTGAATTTGCAGGCTGAATGGCTTCTGGTGATGACAGGGCCCAGGGTGTGTCCATGGGAGCTGGTGTCTGAGGAGGAGAGGAGGAAAAAGCCTTTGGATGTCCGAGGCCAGGTCATTGAGTGGTCAGCGTGTTGGATGGGCTGACCACACAGAGATGGGCTGAAGTCACAGAGAATGATGACAGGAACTGGGTGGAAAAGAAGAGCAGGAGCCTGTGGCTGAGTAAAAGAGAACAACCCCCAGGACTGGTGGTTGTCACCACTGAGGAGGGGACACGAGGAGCTCAGCCAGGTGGTATGAGCCTTAAAGGGGCCAGAGTTTTCTAAGAGGCTGGGGAGTAATGGTCCAGAAGGGGAAACAGAGAGGTAGGGAGGCCAGACGCAAAGTCTAAGCTGAGGTGCGAGGGCTGGGGGGAAATTGAGCCTCCGCTCGTGAGGGCAGTAGGGGACAGCGAGGTTCAGGTGAGGCAGGAGTGAAGCTTCTGAGAAGAGGCTAGGATATTTCTGATCACCGATTGGGAATTCCAGGGTGGGAGGAAGGTCTGTGTCAGGTGAGGGAAGAGACTCTGGAAGGAAGTCCTGACTCTTCCTAGTGGACTCAGGAGGCAGGAGTGTGAGGGCAGGTAATCCTTTCAGTCTCTGCTGGAGAGCAGGGATTCCAGCTTCCGTGGAGTAATAAATTGGTGAGCTGGAATGTGACCCTATGCTGAATCACAGCTCTAAAATCACAATGTGCTCAGAATAAATAACTCCACATTGGGACGATACTTGAGAATTTTACAAAATGTTTTTTATCATACTTTAACATCTCCTTTCCTCATCTCCTTCTTACTGCAACCCCCTGAGGTGAGCATTAGCACCCATGAAGGAGTGACTTGCAGAACGTCACATTCCTGCGAAGTGTCAACATGGGATTAAAACTCAGTGGCGTTAACTCGGTCTTACCTTCTGAACACAGCACTTTCAGAGTTGCTTAAAACAAAACAAAACAAAAACCTCCCTGAAGTCTGTTCTTTTTGCATCTGACCATTGACCATTCTTTCCTTAGCTTCTCTGCCATCTTTTGAATATTCAGGAAATCAATGCTAGGTCTTCCCACCTTATTTCTTGTCTTTACATGACTTTATAGCTCCTAAAATGGAGGTAGTAATGGGTAGCAGGCTCTGTTTTGAAGAGCTCGGAAAAATGCAGGCAGCGAGTCAAAGCTCCAGGCAACTCCACTTCCTCGACTGGGACCAGCTGCCGGGTGCTGCGGGCAGAGGCTGCCCTGGGGGTTCCGGGAGGGGACCTTACTGCACCCCCCTTACTTCTGCCCCTCCAACTCCTGCTGGGAGCTGGCCTCCGGATAAAACTAGGTAATCTTGCCTAAGGGTGGCTTCAAAGCTGCTTTTTAACCTATTCTGTTGATGTCCCCTACGTCATTCCCAGCTCTCTCCCTTCCGAAAACTTTTGAAGGGGAAGCTGCGGCTAGAAAAGGGAAGTCAGCTCTCTCGCTGGGCTTAAAGAGCCGAACTGCCGTGACTTCTCCAGTTATAAAACCTGTTTAACAATTAAAAAGCGTCTGTTCGACTAAGCTCCTCCCCCAGTATGACGTCACCAGACACAACCCTCTTGCGTTATTGCCTCGTTTCATCTCTAGAAAGACCCATTTTGACTGTAGGGCAAATACAGATTTGCCTAAGCACATGCACTAAAATGCACAAATAAAAAGGAAGCTTTGAAAACTTCTTCAACATTATCACGTTTATTCTTTTTCCCGTAATGTTTGTAGGGTTGTGTGCAAGGCAATGTGAGGTTCACCTGAGGAAATTTTAAGACATCATCCCCCTAGGAGGAAAATAGTTGCGTCCAATTCTGTGTCAGCTAAGGAGGCGGGGCCGTGACGGCGGGTTCCGGGCGGGGCTGGACTGTTCTATGTGAGTCCCGGTAGGGGAGCTTCTTTACGGGAGCAGGCTGCCCTGGGAATTAGCCTTCTTTCTCCCCATATTTAAATTTTTAGACATTAATTAAAATGTACAGAAGCACAAATGCGGGCTGACAGTCCTCTCTACAGCTGTGAAGACAGGGGCGGAATCTCCTGGTCGCCGCTCCACCTAGTGGCCGCGTCCATTTTTGCGCCGGATGGTCTGATATAAGGGGTTGGGAGAAGTGCCTACTTCAGGGATCGCAAAGCGTGGCGGCCCCATGGCCCCGCTGGGAGGCGCCCCGCGGCTGGTGCTCCTCTTCAGCGGGAAGAGGAAATCCGGAAAGGACTTCGTGACCGAGGCGCTGCAGAGCAGGTGTCCGTGGGGCGGGGAAGGAGGGGGAGAGGGTGGTGTGATCCCCGCATCACGTGACACGGGGGGGGGGTGTGTTCGGGGTGATGGCGTGAGCTTTGGAGTAGGGGTCCTCGGGTTGCAGGGCGGGGCGAGCGCTGGGCGGCAGGAGGTGGAGGATTGTCACTGTCACATAAAACAGCAGTCTACACATGCTCACCTCGACGAACCAGGCGGCCACCTCTCCAAAGACTAAGCTGTAGGCCTCTGTCTCCAAGAAGCATTAATAACAGTTACTATCAAGGCACTGTTTACTTTTTATACACTATTCCTAATCTGTTACTGGTGAGCAAACTGAGTCACAGATAAAGGATTTGCCTGAGACCACACCCCGGTAGTGTCTGACTCCAAAGACACCTCCTTGCCCAGCGCATCACCTGATACCTGGGGTTTATTGACCCTTTATTGTGTGCCAGGCGCTGTGTGCATAGATAATCTCATTTAACCCTAAAAACCTGTCTGTAGTTGCTGTGTGGTGTTACTGGTCAGTATCTCCATTTAACAGATGAAGAAACTGAGGCTCTGAAAAGATAAGAAACGAAAAATAACAACCCCAAACTTGCCAGCGATGCAAAGTAATCAGCAGATCCAGGACTCAAATTGAGCTTTAGTCTCGCTCCAAGGAATGAGTTCTTTCTGCTTTACCTCACTGCCTTTGGCTCAGTGTTTTCTCCCAAAGCGAGATGTTCCGTGTGGGAGTATTTTTGCTGGGCCTGGGCGAGGAGAGCAGAGGAGCCAGGGAGAAAGTGTAGTGGGGCTTCTCTCCTCTTGAAGGCCAGTGTGCAGGGGGTACCAGGAGGCTGCTTTTGGGCACCACAGGGGTTCTAAGAGGTTGTGGGTAGCCCAGGGCAGGGGGTGCCACCTGAATCTCTCACCACGAAGCAGCCACCACTTTTTCCTAAGTTACATTTCTCCTCGTCCCCAAACACAGAAGTCAGAAGCTCAGGCTCTGGAATTAGACAGTTGGGATTCAAATCCTGACTCACCACTTATTCACATGTGATCTTGCAGAAGTTTCTTATCTACTCTGTGCCTCAGTTTTGTCGTCTGTGAGATGGGGATAATAATAGGGTGATTGCAAAGATTGAATGAGATAATGCATGTGAAGGGCTTGGAGCAATTCTTGAGCCCTAGTAAAGGTGCAGGAACTAAATGTTGGCTATTATCATTTTCCCAGTTTTGCCCTCCTTACTTGCACGGTTGCTTTGGGTGAATCAGTTCTCATTCAACCTCACTTTCCTCATCTGAACCGTGGAAATAAGAACGCCTTTCTCACCCTGTCAGTGGTTAAGTGAATCTGTGAGCATCTCAGATCAGGGCAGGAATCACGTGTCTTATTCACATTTGTGTCACCTGGATCCCAACACTGTACCTGACAAATGGTGGGTTGAATAAACTGAACAACTGAATGAATGAATGATTTATGCTGTGGTGACCAAGTCGGTTGAGACTGAAATGCCCCTGGCTGTGAGACAACTCATTCAGGGGCCTGGCAGTAACTAATTGAGCCGGAGTATTGCCAGGCATGGATGGTCACACTGTAATTATCATTTTATTTGTTTGACCTGTTAGTTTCAGGGCTCTTTCACATTCGAGTTTCAGAATAATCCTGTGGGAGACAGAACAGAGACTGTTACCCCATTTTACAGATGAGGAAATAGGATCAGAGAAGTTGAGACCTGACAGAGTCACATAGACACCAGTAGCAGAAATGGGACTTCAACCCTCTGGACTTCTCTCCTGGGGCCTGGAAACTCTAGGTTAACTGGTTTCGGATGTGCCTGTCCCACAGACTCGGAGCTGATGTCTGTGCCATCCTCCGGCTCTCGGGTCCACTCAAGGAGCAGTATGCTCAGGTAGGTGGTCCCTCTGTGGCATCTGGTGGCTCGGAAGGAGCCAGCTCCCGGGCTGTGCTGTTGCTTGAGTCACTGGCCGGGTCCCTATGACCACTGCTGGCGGGGTGGTGGACAGCACTTGGTTTTCTGGGGGTGGACCTTTTGGGGGCATTTTGACCTTAAGCTTCTTTCCCATTGGCCTCACTCACTTCAGGCCACCTCCTCAGACCGTGTTCAAGAAAGTGTGTCCAGGAAAGGCTGTGGACGTGAGTTGGCAGCTCTCTTGCTGTGTTATTCGCACATAAAGGTCTGCATGAGTCCCTTTACTCAAAAAAATACGACACCACACATCACCCCCTCAGCTGGCCTGCCACAGCCCTTGGAATTCTCCCCTTAGAAATTCAGTCACATGAGTTGTCAAGATATAGTGTTAAGTGAAAAAAGCAAGATGTAGAACAGTGTATAGAGAATGCTACATTTGTATAAAAATGGGGAAAAATTGTAAATATATTTGCTCCTGTATTCCGCCATTCAGCAAATATTTATGAGGTGCCTGCATGTGTTCAGCACCGTTCCAGGTGTTGGGGACGTGTAGAACCCTGGGCAGGATTCCTAAGAGACTGTACCATTGGTTGCTTCCGGGGAGGGGAGCTACGGTGCTGGAGAACAGGGGTCGGAGAGAGATTTTTCACTATAAACGAATGTGTATGTTTGGAATTTTGAACCATGTAGGTTGAAACAAAAAGGATTGTAAAAAGTAAACAGGAATTCTTAGGTCCTTAGACTTCAAAAAGGGAACCTGGAGGGTGAGATCAGCTTCCCACACGAGGAAGAGTCCCCTCATCGCTTACGTTTCCGTCCTTGACTCTGGGTGTGCCCTTCCAGGTGCTCATGGTCCCTCAGTCGGTTGGCCTGAGTCTGGCCTTGTGGGGCCACACAAAATGAATTTGTCCCTGTCTTCCGTCCGACAGCCCCATCTCCATGGGAAGCATTCTCCTGTGCCATTGGGTCTTCTCCCACAAGTTAAACAGACCCATTCATAGGATGGCAGCCTGGGGGCTCCTGGGCATAACAGGTTCAGTGGTTCTCAAATTTTTTTAGTAGCAACCTTTCCCGAATGAGATTGGATGCACAAGTTCCTTGTATCCAGTAGACAGACTGAGAGCGACTCTTGGGGGTAGAGGCAGGAGGAAAGAGGGTGGCAGGGGGCTCTCAGCCTTCCTCAGTGGGTCCTGGGCACTTCCGAGGAGCCCCAAGGCTCCGAGGAGCGGTTTGAAAACCACTCATCTACTTCCAAAGTTCCCAGATTAGGCCCCACTGCGGACCTGTGAGCCAGGCTGGGGGTGGGGTGAGCAGGAGTTTGCCTTTTTAAAACCTCCATAGGAGACTCTGATAGGCCAGCCTGCCCCTGCTGTTTGGAAGTCCAGCGCCACTCCATGCCCCACTTCCACTAAAAACAAATCCAAAATGAAATCTTAATGCGTTGGTTTCTTAAGTCGCAATGGGAAATATAATTGACCAGCAGACCGTAATGCTCCTGGTGGCTCTGTGGTAGAACTTGGCAAACTAGTTTACCAACAGGAGGTGGCTGCTAGCCTCACCTTGGAACAGGGCAAGGTGGGTGATTTGACTGGCTGGTCACGACCCCCTCAGTCTGCCGTGAGTTAGTCGGGGGGGGGGGGGGCTAGAACCTGAAGTGAGTGATGTTTTTCAGACCCTTTGGTCCTGGGGCCCTCTGGATGGACCCCTCCTGCTTGTCTGTGTCCCTGGAGAAGGGAAGGCCAGTTTTGCAAGCAGCTCCCCAGGGTGGTCAGAGCAGCCCCTCCTGCCCTCTGGTTCGGAGGCCCCAGGAGTGATGGTGTTTCAGTGGAGGTGCTAGGAATTTGGGGATGAGGAAGGGGGTGAGGGAGAGGAGAGAGATGAGGAAGCCGCGCCTGCTGGACTTTGGGATGGGGGCAAGCAATGCCAGAAGAGGTAATGGAAGGGCATGGAATGCAGTGTTTTCAGATTTCCCACTTTAGTTGAAGGTTAAGCCTGTGCCCAGGGGATGCAAACTAATTTCAGGATTAGTTTAAGCCAGAAATAATTGGGAAGGTAAAACCGTTGTGAAAGAGAAAACCACATCACACATTTAAAAGAAAAATTGAAACAATTTCTGGGTTATCCTGTGACCTTTCTTCCATCTGCCAGTGTCTGAGATTTCTTAGTTTCTAGGGCCCTTTCCCTTGCAGGCCTCTGTCCTGGTGCAAATATCATTAGTCCTTGCATCATCCTGGGGGAGGCGGGCAAGGAAGGGATGGCTCTTCCCCCGTTTCAGGAGAGACCAGCGAGTTTCAAAGGCTGGTGGCATAGACATATGTGCTTTGGCAGGAACATGGCTTGAACTTCCAGAGACTCCTGGATGCCAGCACCTACAAGGAGGCCTATCGGAGGGACATGATCCGCTGGGGCGAGGAGAAGCGCCAGGCTGACCCCGGCTTCTTCTGCAGGAAGATCGTGGAGGGTGTCTCCCAGCCGGTCTGGGTAAGCGGTCTATGCGGCATTAAGAAAACCCGTTTCTCCAGCTCTCCGCCTTTCCCCAAATAATCTCAAATGTGTCTATTTCCCTATTTCCACTGCCACTTCCGTGGTCCAAGCCCTTGCCGTCCCCCCCCCTGGACAATCGTGGTGGCCCCCACACTGGTCCCGGCTTTGGCTCTTGTCCTTTATGATCCTTTCACCACACAGCAGCCAGAGTGACCTTTTAAAAACAAACCAACTCACGTCACTCTTCTCTTTAGAAGCCTTTGTCCTGTTGTTCTGATGAACAAAACCAAAATCCTTAGTATGGACTTCTAGGCCTTCATTGATTGGCTCCTAGTATCCTTTTAGCCTCCTCACTCCTTAAGCTACGTCTACGCCGGCCTTCCCTCTGTTCCTCAAATAAATCAGGCTCCTTCCAGAACCTGGGCCTCTGCACGTGTTCTGCCCGCCTGCACTGCCCTTCCTTTCCCTCCTCGCCTGGTTAGGGCCAGCTTGGCTTACCTGGCACCTCACAGGGAAGGCTTCCCTGACACCCAAGCCTTAACTGGAGCTCCCCATTGGGTGTTCTCACAGCACCTCACTGTTTTCCTCCCTCATTCATTCCGGCAGCCAGGAGTGTCCGCTTGTAGCAGGCGTGGGTCCAGAGGATGGGGGCATACATCAGTGCAGAAATGCGAGGGAGCTTACCTTATAGCTGGGGATGGAGGGAGTTAGGCCCTGGTACAGAACCTGTCAGGTGGAGATGAATACTAAGCAAAATAAGCAGGCCACAGGTGTGAGGGGCTGGGTTGCTGTTTTCTTCAGGGCATCTGGGAAGGCCTCGCTGATATGACGCTTGAGTAGGACCTGACAGAAGAGGGAGCCGAATGGATATTTGTGGGTGAGGGGTGAGTGGCGGATGTGAGGTCTGATGGTACTGGTTCTTCAGAAGAACCTGGACTTCCTCTGAGTAAGATGGGGCCTCATTGGAGGGTTTTGAGCAGAGGAGCGACATTATCTGATGTAAGGTTTAAAAGGCTCCCCCTGACTGCTGGGGGAAGGGCAAGAGTGGAAGCAGAGAGGCCAGGTTGAGGATCTTTCTGGAAGACAGGCAGAGTGGCTGTGGCTTGGCTCCGAGTGGTGGTAGAGTGGAGAGCAGGGGTTGATTCTGCACAGATTTTGAAGATAGAACCAGTAGGATTTACCGGTGTGTTGGCTATGGGGTGTGAGAATAGGAGATGGTGCAAAGGATTTTCTTCTGAGCAGCTGAACAAATAGAGTTGTCATTTTTGAGACAGGGAAGGCGCGGGGAGAAAATCAGGAGTTCTGCCCTGGCGGTGTTAAGGTTGAGATGCTTGTTGGTATGACTGATGACGCGGTTATTAGTAAAGCTGCGTGTTTAGCGTCTGTCTCTCCCACTAGACTGTACGCTCCTCGAGGGCAGGCACCAGGTCTGTTTTGCTCACCACTCTATCCCCAGCGCTTAGCACAGCACCCGCCACCCGGTGGGTGCTTGCTCTAATACCTATTTACTAATTGTGTGAGTGAACATATCAGCTGTGTGGACAAGCACAGCTGGGCCCTTTATTCCCTGATTCATTCACTCATTGAACATATGCGCCTGCGTGCTCGTTGTGTATCAGATGGTGCACTAGGGCCAGGGAGATAGCAGTGAATGAGGCCTAGCCCTTTCCCCTCTGGAGCTGACCCTGGGGAGGGCAGACAGACAATAAACACACAAACAAACTAGTAAATAGTGATGATTTCGAGAGTAGTTAGTGCTCAGAGGAAAATAAACAGCATATCAGGATCGAGAGGGACAGGAAAGGAGCCAGGGTGGGAGGGAAAGCCTCTCTGAGGACGTGATCTTTGAGCAGAGACCTCCACGAAGTGAGGGTACCTACTTTGTGATTATCCAGGGAGAGGGAGTAGCATGTGCAAAGGCCCTGAGGAGGAGATGTGCTTGGCATGTTTGAGAAACAGCGAGGAGGTGAGTGGGCTGCAGTGGTCTTAATGAGGGGAAGACGATGGGGAACAGGTGCTGGATCTTGTAGGGCCTTGTAAATTGGGGTGAGAGCTTTGGATTTTATTAGAATGATGGAAGCCTTTGAGAGGTTTAGGGCAGAGGACTGACAAAAATCACATTTATGCTTTAAAAGATGCTGGGGGCAGGGACCAGTTAGAGTATCTGTTTCTGGCCTCAGTTTGCCCATCTGTGGAATGAGTGAGTTGGACTGGCTGAGCTGACTTCAAAGCATGAGGCCTCTTCCGCACAGCAAGGACTGACACAACCACAGCACACGCATGTGACCATGGCAAAGACAGTGTGGGCAGAGCTGGCTGTGGGCTGCAGTGATCAGGGAGGGCTGCCTGAAGGGAGGAGGGAGGTCTGTCCCAGCTGGTTGGGTGATAATGGGGAATGGGGCTACACTTATCTGGGTTCTATAGAACCCCCTCCTAACCCTGCACTCCTGCTTATACGGAGTGGGGCTGGGTCTCCCCTCTTTTCCCCTCACCCCCCGCCACTGCCCTGCTGCTCCCTACATCATGTCCTTTTGGTCACCTGTCTGTGTCCCTTCCCTGCAGCTCGTGAGTGACACACGGAGGGTGTCTGACATCCAGTGGTTTCAGGAGACCTACGGGGCTATGACGCAGACCATCCGAGTGGTGGCCTTGGAGCAGAGCCGACAGCAGCGGGGCTGGGTGTTCACTCCAGGTGAGCAGCTTACAACCTTTGCGCCCAAGGCCCGGCGCCCGGGCCGGCCACCCCGCGTGTCCACCAGCCACCCACTCCTGTGCTGCAGGTCTTCTGCTTTCTCCCCGGCAGGCCGTGGGGCAGTGAGTGAGGGATTTTAAAAGGGAATCTGAGACCTGGGCCTGAGCAGTGCCTCCAGATTAGAAAGTGGATTGGGGTAGGGGATGGTATCCTTGGGGGTCCAGTTCCCCCGACCTTGGCCTGGTGCCCTTAGCTGGGCTTTCTTCTTTAGGCCAGGGGGCTTCTGGAAGTCTGGCTGGGACCCACCTCCGTGGGCCTTCCCCTTTGCTTTCCAACCTGGTGGGGGGCTGACAGTGGGTCGGAGGACAGGCCTGACAAACCCCACTCCTGTTTGAGTAATGGGGGTGGGGGGCAAGAGGAAGCTTTACTACGGAGCCTCAGTTGTGCAGGCCAGAACCTGGACTGTGGCAGTTCAGGGGGTCACAGCTCAGGCCTCTTTCCTGCCCTGGGTCACTGACTCGGGAAGTTCCGATCCAATGGGTCTGACCCCTCCTAAGGGCTGCTCATCTTCTGGCGCCCCCATAGGCCAGGCCTGTGCTCAGAGTGCCTTATACACATCATCTCACTTTATAGTCACAGCTGACCATCCAGGTCGATGCTGTTGTCACCATTCTCATTGCCAGATGAGAATGGCATGTACTGCCTCCCGAGGGGGTTGAGTCAGGGATTTAGGGATAGAAATTGATGCAACCAGCTTCCCATGACATGAAAATGCAGTGCCCTTTTGGGTTGTCTGTGGTTTTAGGTGACCCGGTCCACCCTCTGTAGGTGGTGGCAAGTAAAGAGTTTAGTCAGCAGGACCCTCTGTGGGTGCCCAGGGGCTATGGGCTGCTGAACCTGCTATTCTGGTGTTTCAGGGGCTGAGGAAGTGCCCTCTGTGGTGGGTGACTTGGCCCTGGAGTGGCAGAGGGGAGGCAGAATGGGGCTCCATCTGGGGCCAGCTGGCCTCGGTGCCTGGTGTTCGTCTGGAGGGACGGGGCCTGACCTCGCCATGCCTCCTCCACAGGGGTGGATGACGCCGAGTCAGAATGTGGCCTGGACAACTTCGGGGGCTTCGACTGGGTCATCGAGAACCACGGAGATGAGCAGCGCCTGGAGGAGCAGTTGGAGAACCTGATAGAATTTATTCACTCCAGACTTTAGTGGTCAGGCGCTAGGCGTGAGCCAGGGGCTGCCTGGGTGAGGGGGAGGCTGACAACGTTGGACATGTGGTCGCTGATGCTGGCCGAGATGGGGAGGCAGACAGAGGGCCTGGGTCTAGATTTCTGGGGGGGGCTGGCAGATGTCAGACGAGTCAAGAAACCCTGTGGGGACCTCATTTCTTTATGGAGGGGACAGCCCTACCTCTTTAGGAAGAGGCTTAGAGGGCAAGAGGGGTGAATTGGCTGTGCTTGAAGCAGGATCATCACCATCTCCACAGGTGCCAGGCCCGTCGGTCTGCAGTGGCCTTGCTTCCCCATCCGCATGCTCTCAGCTCCTTGTTCTGGGCAAGAGCCTGAGGCTCCCCAGTGTGGAAACTAATAAACCTCCTTGGAGCACACACTCAGCTGGACATGTCTCATTTCCCAGTTGCCAGCCCTGCCTGTGTGGACTCAGAAGGGCCTGGGCTGTCCTGCTGGCTGTGGGTTCCTGCTGTGCCTCTTGCCTGGGCTGGAACATATCCTGCAGAGTCTGACCTCAGCCAGGCTATGCAGGTAACTGGCCTGTTTGTGTCAGAGGCAGGATTGGGGTCTGAGGGTCTTCTGGGATGGCCCCAAGAGAGGCTCAGTGTTCCACAGAAAGTGCTACCAGCAAGTACCCAGGGGAACTGAGACATCACAGAAGGGCAGAGCCACTGGAGATGCATGGCTCTTAGTAACCCTGGTGTGGCCCTGGGCGAGTTGTATCACCATGAGCCTCAGCTTTCCCACAGAGAGCTTTGGACTTGACCCCTTTTATTTATATAGCCTTCTGCAATTTCTCAATTTCTTCTAGATTCTTCACAGCCACCCTGTGAAATGGCAAGAGAGTATTTTCACCTGCGTTTAGCAGATGCCAAGACTAGAGAAGCGAAACAACTTGCCCAGGGTTAGAGGGCTAGTAAGTGTTGGTGCTCCAGCTAGAACAAAGGCTGCCTGACTCCTGGCCAGGGCTCCTTCGGCCACATGCCTGCAAAGTCCCATGGCTCCTTGCCATCCTCAGACCTAACCTGAGCACCCCAAATCTCTGGCCCTGGCTTTGTTCTCCTTCCACAAATTCTGTCAGTTCTCACCGATAAGGGGACCACCAAAGAAATTGCATCAGTTTCGGCATGACCCAAACTGAACTTTACACGTTCCTGCCCAAATTTCGGCCTCCCTGGATCGCCTTTTCTCAATACTATGCCCTGGCTCTTGCAGTTAACCAGGCCCGACAGCCTGACAGTCATCGTGGACTCTCCATGCCCCCTGACTGCTGTGGCTAATTGGTCACCAGGTTCTGTTAGCCTCCCCTCCCTGTGTCTTCCCTCTGGGAGTCACTTTGGCACTGACCTCGGGTTCCCTGGCACCTTGGGGTTCCCCTCTGTCTCTCCGGTAGACTGAGAGCTCCTTGAGGAATGGGCCTGGGCCTGTTCATCTTTGTGTCCCCAGTGCCTGCCGCCTGGCAAGGGTAGTGATGGCAGGGCATGAGCAGTGACCACTGAGGGCCCACCGTGCACCAGATACCATGTTAGATATTTTAATACGGCCTCGGAAAGAGCTTTGAGAATTAATGAAAAAAGAAATGAATGAAAGAGTATTGACCAAACTTCAGGCTCTCAGGTGCTAGTTTAACAACCATCACCTCAATGATGGTTTTAATAATGATAACAGCAACAATGACAACAACTGTGTTTTTTTCAGGATTGCTCCGCAATCTGCCAGGTGCTGTGCAAAAGCCTTTCATACAGAGGTAGATGTTTTCATTCCCCCTTAACTGGGGAACCCCTGGAGGACCCTGGTGGATCCTGCCAAGGACACAGGAGTGATGGCAGAGCCACCACTTGGCGTGTGTCTGCCTCCCACGCCTGCGTCCAGAAGCCCTGTGTTTATCGCCTTCCCCAGGGAGGGTGTCCTTCCGTGTGGGGGATGCCGCGGTGCCTCCTTAGTTTTGAAAGCAGCCAATCTCTGCCTTCTCAGACAAGAGATTCAAAGCTCAGGATGGATGGGAACCTGTCCACTGTGCTACCAGACTCACAGATCACTCATCATTTTGTTTTTCTTCCCAACTTTATTGAGATAAAATTAACATATAATGTTGTTTAAGGTATACGACATGAAGATTTGATACATGTATATATTGTGAAGTGATTACCACAAAATAAGGTTAGTTAACACCTCCATCACCTCACATAATTGTCTTTTTTTTTTTGAGTGGTGAGAACATTTAAGATTTACTCTGTTAGCAACTTTCAAGTATATAATATAGTATTGTTAACTGCAGTCACCATGCTGTGCATTAGATCCCCAGAATTTGCTCATCTCATAACTGGCAGTCTGTACCCCTTGACCAGCATCTCCCCATTTCCCCCACCCACCAGCCCCTGGCAAGCACCAGTCTACTCTCCGTTTCTGAGTTCAGCATTTTTAGATTCCACATGTAAGTGAGATCATTCAGTACTTGTCTTTCTCTGTCTGACTTATTTTGCTTAGCAGAATGTCATCCAGGTTCATTCATGTTGCAAAGGCAGGATTACTTTCTATTTTTTTTTGGCTAAATAATATTCCATCATCTATATTTGTATCTCTATCTATCTGCCTATCTATCTGCCTATCTATCTGCCTATCTATCTATCTATCTATCTATCTATCTATCTTTCTGTCTTACATTTTCCTTATCGATTCATCTGTCCATGGACATTTAGGTATTTCCATGTCTTGGCTATTGTGAATAATGCTGCAGTGAACGTGGGGGTGCAGACATATCTTCAGGGTAGTGATTTCATTTCCTTCCACTATACGCCCAGCAGTGGGATTGCTGGATGATCACTGATTGATATTAAGTTGAAATATCAAGGAGGCAGGGATAAAGCAGAGAAGGGGAGGTGGGGCTGGTGGGTCTTATATGTCCCCAGGAGGGGTGCTGACCCGGTTTCTGGCTCTAGATATTTGGAAGAGTCACAGGATGTGACTTGGGAAGCCCGTGGGTCCATACCTGCACCCGGTGACAAACTGGCACTGATGCCTCTTAAAATGGGAGGCCCCAGTGGCCAACTAGTCACTTCTGCTGGACTTGAAGTTTCTGCACACTTTTTAAAAAAGTGGATGTTTCTCTAAATATCAAAACCCTGACTTTTGACACCCTATTTTGTAATGAGTGCTTTTGCTGCTTTTGTTTCAAGACCTCCCTAACCTACTAGTCTTTGCTAACTTTGCCTGTGGTTAAAATCTCAGAGCATGGCTGTTGTTATTTTTTTAATGTTCTGTATATGTTCTTTTAATGATTTGTAACACTAATATTCTCTTAAAATTATTTTGTAATTCCACTTCTAAACAGCTTTATTGAGATATAATTGGCTTGTAATAACTGCACATATTTAAAGTATACAATTTGATAAGTTTTGCCACTTGTATACACCCATGAAAACATCACCACAATCACAATGGACGTAGCCATCATCCTCAAAGGCTTCCTCATGTCCCCTCCTCTTACCGCTCCCTGACCCCCAACCTTGTCCCCAGGCAACCACTAATCCACTTTCTGTGTCTATAGATTAGTTTTAATTTTCAATAATTTTATGTAAATGTATCATACATTATATATCCTTTTTTGGTCTGATTTCTTTCACTCAGCATAATTATTTTGAGATCCATCCACCTTATTGTTGGTGTCAATAGTTCATTCCTGGTATATGGTGTGATGTCCCACAATTGTTGATCCATTCACCTGTTGGTGAACATTTGGGTTGTTTCCAGTGTTTGGATATGACAAATAAAGCAACTGTGAACATTCAGGTACAAGTTTTTGTGTGGACAAGTGCTTTCATTTCTCTGGCATAGATACCTTCCTAACTTTTTAAGAAACGGCCAAACTGTTTTCCAAAGTGGTTGTACCATGTGCCCACCAGTACTGAGTGAGAGTTCCGGTTGCTCCACATCCTTACCAATACTTAGTATAGTCAGTCTTTAATTTTAGCCATTCTAGTAGGTATGTAGTGGTACCTTATTAGCATTTTATTTGCATTTTCCTAATGATTAATTTGACACAGATCTCACATTCAGTTTTGATAACGTCTCTTAGCAAATTAGGAATAGAATGCAGCATCCTCCATCTGATGAGGAACATCTGCAAAACCCTATAGTTAACAGCATACTTAATGGCAAAATACTAAATGTTTTCCCCCAAAGATTGGGAATGAGGCAAGGATGTCCATTCTCATCACCTATTCACCATCATGCTAGAAGTTCTAGCCAGTGCAATAAGACAAGGAAAAGAAATTAAAGGCATCCAGATTGGGAAGGAAGAAGTAAAATTGTCTTGATTCACGATATGATCATCTATGAAGAAAATCTGGTGGAATCTCTGAAAGAGCCACTAGAACTGATTAGTGAGTTCAACAAGATTGTGAGATACAAGATCAATATGTAAAAATCAACTGTATTTATGTTTATGAGCAGTGAATAATCAAAAATTGCCATAAATAATGCCAATTGCAATACCATCAAAAATATGAAATGGTAAATCTGATAAAAGACATGCAAGATCTGTACACTGAAAACTATAAGACATTGCTGAGAGAGATTAAAGACCTAAAGAAAGAGAAATTATACCATATTCATAGTTTAGAAGACTCAAGATATTATTTTTTATTAAGATATAATTACATACAGTGAAATGTACTCATCTTAAGTGTACAATTCAACAATTATTGACACGTACACATCTATGTAACACAAGTCCTTATACCATAGAGAACATTTCCCTCACTCTAGAAAGTTTCTTTTTAACCCTTCCCAGTCAGTCCCTGCTTGCCCAGAAGCTACTTTCACCATAGATTGGTTTTACCTGTTCTAGAATTTCATATAAATGGTTAACATCCAATTTTAAACCAAATTTACAGCAATAATTTATTTTTTAGACTTAACTGGTTAACTGCTCACTTTCTATTCTTTTATGATATCTCAACTTTCCCATTTTTGTATTTTGTATTTTAATTCCTCTCCAGACAGCTGATGTGCTGTCAAATATTTTTTTGAAAACGAGCATGTCAGTGATATATTTTCTGAACCCACGTGAATGAGAGAATGACAGTCTGTTGCCTCTGCACGTGGACGATGACTTGGCTGGCATAGGATTCATGACCCGGTTCCACTATCTGCTAGTGTTTAATGTCGCAGAGGCTGAGGTCACCTTGACTTTTCTTCCTTTGAAGGTAACCTCCTTTTTCTGTCTGGATACTTTTGGATTTTTTTTTTTTTGCCTTTATTTTTGGAATTCAAATTCTGGCGTTCTCCAAGGCAGAACGTGGACGTGTCTTAAAAGAAAAAGTTGGCGCTCGATGTTCCCTGTGAAGCGTTATTGAGCAATGAGAAGGAAATTTAAGTGGTCGTCTACATCTAAGTGTCTGCTGCAACCTGAGGCAGTCACCTTGGGAGTTTGGGCTTAGACGCTCCAGAAATGTTGCTTCTGTCAAATGCCTTTGGGGGCTCCCCTTTGCTTTGAGGAGCTGGTCTCAGTGAGGGCAAATTACCACCCCTTGAAAGTGGATCTGAGTTTTGGGAACAGCCAAAGGAAGTTGGTGCTAAATTCTGGTGAAGGGGACAAGGTGAGGGATGTACTTTTGGCTAAAATAAATGGTCCCTGTAATGTAACAACTCTAAAACTTCCTCAAAGCCAATTCTTAGGAACTTTAAAAAGTTGTCTTATCACCCATGCCTCTGTGCCTTTGCATATGCCATTCTCCCTGCATAAAGTGCCCTTCCCACTGACTCGGGCTTGGACCCCCACAGCTGGGGCCTGGACTTCTCCACTCCGGAATGCCCCATCGTGTGCGCTTTCTCGCTCCTCCACCACCCTATAAGCAATTCAGAAAAGGAGTTCTTTTTGTTTGTGTTTTGAATCTTTGGTGTCTGGCACATGGTAGGTCTCAATAAATGTTTGTGGAAATGGAAACATTTCTAAGTGTTAGGAAACAATATGACTTCCTGAGCTTACTGTCTTGAAGTAGCCAACATTCATTTGGACGTCTAAAGTTATGGCGTGTTTGAAGCAACAACAAACTGACTCCTGTGGCATTACTCTTATTTATATACAGAGGTGTGCTGGTAGATGTTTAACAATTGGATCTCTGGACAAAAAGAGCCCTGATTTTTAGTATTACACCACTTCTGTGGTGTAAATACTCCCGCTGTGGCTGATTTCAAGCTACCAACGTGACATCAACTGGCTAGCAAAATTCCCGAACATTTAAAAATTGGCCCTTGCAAGCTGGCCCCCACACACCACTGTCAAAGTCTACACCTCTTGTTTTTCCACCATTACTGGTTCATTTGGGCGACCCTGTTGCTGTTTGTACAGCATGTGTCTGCGTATTGCATATTTCATCCCTTGTGTCAAACCAATTATTACTCTTATCCTCATTTTACAGCAAGTAGAATGAGGCCCAGAAACTAAGGGACTTCTCCAAGGTGGCAAAACTTGCCTGTCTAATCCAGGGTTCAGTCTCTGTCTGGAACTCGCTGTCAACACCATGAGGGGCTGGAGAGATGTGTGTTCCACCCAGTCTTCTGTTCACTGGGGTTGAGGTGAGCCTGCCTGGAAGGACCCAGGGACCCCGTGCTTGGCCCATGACCAAGGACATCCCTGCCAGCAGACAAGCTGTGACAGGGAGTTGAGCAACTTTTCTTGTATGGGACCAGCGGCTATTACTTTCACAGCCTAACTCGGGATCTGCACGGTGCCTTGTTGTCCGACAGCCCACTGAAGCAGTGAGTCCCTGTTTACCCCAGTCCCTGTGGGGTTTTAACCTTTTTCTTCCAGGTGGGTTCAAGGAGCATCCAGCCACAGCTGAATTCCTTGGGAGCCCAGGCTGAGGGCAGTGATGGCACCCCCAGGAGGTGAGAGGTAGACCTGCTTCCTGCTTGGTTTCATCTTAAATTTGCTTCCAGTTTCAGGGCTTGTGGAAGGTCTGTGTTAGGGACTGTGTGAGGCTTTCTGAGGGGTCACCAAGATACATGACATCATGGAATGCAAGTACTGTAATTGGCCTCCGTGGTCTAGCTCCAGATCTTTCCCTTACAGATGAGGAAACTGAGGCCCAGCGAGGGGAAGTGGTTTGGTCAAGGTCCTACAGCAATTGGTGGCAATGCTAGGACTAGGCCCCCAGGGCTCCTGACTCTCCACCCAGGGCTCGTCCCCTGCCCTTTGGGTCCCTGAGAGAGCATAAGCCTGTGCCTTTCGTTGGAAGGTGGCAGAGAAGGCCCAGCTTGAGTCCTTGGGAGCTTGGCCTAGTTCCCTGCATCCCGGGTTTTTCCAGACTTCCCTGAGGAGGCCGGGCCACCTGCCTATGCCACCTGCGTGTCCCGTTTAGGTGAATCAAGCTGTAGTGGGATGACGAGGCCACTTCCCAGAAGGGAACAGTGGGGGATGACAGTGGGGAGAGACAGGTGTGGACTTGGACCTACTGTCCCTTGGAGGCCGAGACTGGGATTCTGGAGGTGGAGGGCCCTACCCTCCACCATGGCTGCTTTCCATCTGGGTGTTGACAGTGTCTGCTAAGTGGAGACATTCCCAGCAACGTCCCTCTGTCATGACAGCTCTGGTGAATTTTCAGTCACATTCAGACCTGAGCCAGTGGTCCTTTTGGCAACTCAGGTCTCCTGCTGCAGCGGCTGGCTCGTCCTGTAAGATGGTCGGGATGTTTCAGGACAGCTGGCCTGGGTTGGGCATTGTTCTAGCAGATCCGGGATGTTCCAGGAACTATGTGATAAATCCCGTTGAGTATTGGCCAAGCAAGCCAGGGAGGGCAGGGAGCCGAGGCCTTGGATCCGTTTGGCAGAGTCATTCCCACACCTGCCCTTTTGCAGTGAACAGCGGGGAGGGGAGAGGCTCGGTCCTTGCCCTTGCCGGGGAGAGTCATGGCGAAGACATTAACACGGGCGTCATGCCTTTCAGTTTACCACGTGTTTTCATGCATATTGCTTCATTTCATTCTCGTAATAGCCTATTATTGTTCCCATTTTGAAATTGAAGAAGTGAGGACACAAAGGTGAAGTGACTTTGCCTGGCACGCTTTGTGGTCGGGTTTGAATCCCACCTGTCATTGTCTCTTTGTGGGACCTTGAGCAAGTTAGTTCCCTCCCTGAGCCCTGATCCCTCCCAGGGAAGTGGGGGCTCTCACTCCTCACCGCGAAGGTGGTTCAGGAGCCCAGTGCCTGCCCCCCAGGAGCTCATGACTGTGATGTTCTCCTTTCTGTCCTTGTTCCAGATCACACAGCCAGAAAAGTGGATTTGGGCCTGGAATTGAGCTTCTAGTCCATTGTTCGTGGGTTTTTTGCCCCAACTTTACCCTATGGTACATGTGAGATAAACTTGGCATTTTTGGAAAGTGAAGTCTTGTTAAGAAATAAAGGGAAATGTAGAAATATAGAAATGAATTTGTGAGCAAAGGACAAGTCTGTGTGATGCTGAGCCTCAGGCTGGCTGAGACTTGACAGTCCCCTGCAGGTCCTCCAGGGTCCTTGGACCCTCCCGGAAGCTTCTCCCGTCTGCTCTAGGAGTGGGCTCTAAATGTGGGCTTGTTGAAGGACAGTCTGATCCCACCTTGAACTGGGAGGGGTTAACAACCAGGATCAGCCCTGGAGTGGGCTCAACTGTGCCCTTTGGTGGCCCGGGGCTCAGAGCAGCTTCCAAGCACACCTCAGGACTCGAAACTCTTCCCACCATGGCATGCAGGCCACAGGTGGTTTTTAAATTGACAGCCAAGGCGCATCTGGGAAGTCCACACTTGGGATGGCACTGG